TCGCTCCCTCCCTTCCCTCCCCTCACCCTGACCATTTCCCCCCTCCTCGCTCCCTCCCTTCCCTCCCCTCACCCTGACCATTTCCCCCTGCTCGGGTCCTGACCCAACTGTGCAGCGCCTTGGGACGTCCTCCTGGCGTGAAAGGCGCTTTATAAATGGAATCTTATTGTTGTTGTTGTTGTTGCTGCTGCTAGGTAAGCAGACGCGTGTATGTGGAGTAAGGAAACTAGCCTAATATTTTGCCTAGACCCGCCCAGGAATCAAACCCAGGTCCTCTCACTTGTGAGGCGATTGTTCTAACCACTGAGCTACAGGACTCCACAATATAGGATATTCCTATTGCCAGCTAAAGCTGCACGGAACCAGGGTTGTGAAGCTCCTCTCTGGACAGTCAGCGATCAGCAGATTGTGCTGCTCGCTGGCCCCAGTCCCTGTCAGGCTCCGTCTCCTAATCCATCTATTACTGTCTGTCTCCCTCCACCGCATCCCCCCCCCCCCCCCCACACACTCTCTGGCCGCTGGGCTTGCTTTATGACAGTCCTCTTGCTCGTGTGATGACAGATTTGCTTTCAGTCATTAAAACATTAAAAACCGAGATTAAACCCATGACATAAGCCACCCTCTCGCATTCCCTGTCCTTGTCCCCTCAGCTACTGGCTGTCCGCACTGCCAGCCCCCATTGCTCTGCTGCCTGCACAACGGAGGAACAGGAGAAAGCCAATCAGCCCCATTCTATTATGTGAGCTCCAAGTCCCAATATGGGGCTTGAAGCCACCACATTCTGACTCAGTGGTGAGAGCACTACGACTCTACGAGGCTGACACCTCTATGAGCCGATGTAGACTGATGGATCAAATGGCCTCCTTCTGCGCTATACATTTCTATGATTTATTTCTCCCAGTGTCCTGGCCGACAATCCCCCAAATTAAATTGCTCGCTTACTCCATGGCTATTTGTGGTACGTTGCTGTGCACAAATTGGCTGCTGAGTTTTGCCCACAAAATACAGTTACTACACTGTACAGTAAATCTTGTGTAAATCACACTAACTATCCAGTGCCTTGGAACTGTTTTGCTGTTGTCCTGTATCCTGTATCCTTTGGGATGTCCTCCTGACATGAAAGTCACTGGAGCCAATGCAAGTTTAGTGTCACACACACAGACACACACACACTGTGTCCCTAGTTATATAAGACATCGCTGTGTGTATAATATAAATAATGATGTCTGTCACAGGGAATCTGTTAAATATTGTTGTAGCCGAGCACTGTACTGGATGTGAGCCTGTAGCAGGACAGCGTCTCTATTTATAACCTTTTCCATCCCTCATCATCATTAAATACACCATTAATATTCTTTTCTACAACTTCTGCTCTAAACGGTTTGACAGATACCCTGCTCCTCACTAGCACTTTCACTGCATATAGCTGTGTATTCCCCAAACCTCATTTTCAGTCTTCTTTCCCGCTCAGCTCCTATCCCTCTCCTCTCCCCTCCTCTTGCCCTCTCCCTCTCTCCTCTCCTCTTTATTAATTTATTGAAGGGGTCAGACAGGTGTCTTGACACACACAGAAATCCATCACCATTGCATAAGAGTGTCCGAATCGAGCTGAGAATTCCATGCATCCCAACTGCACATGAAAATCTCAGAGATAGACTATTGGAATGGGAATGTGCACTCTCTCTCCCTGGAGGAACACATTCTGCTTACCTAATTCTGGAGAGTTTTAGACGCAGATTGGCAAGAGCCAAGGCTTGGGAGCACCCCAGGTAACTGCTGGAGTCTAATCAGCTAAAACTACGTAACTTGCCATTGATATCACTGTCTGGTAAGCTTTCTCGCTGCTTGTCCAGCTAGGACCACCCTATCTGTTCTGGGTTTGGCTTGCAGGGTTAACAGGAATAGGGTGGGAGGATTCCCTGCCCCCAGTGAGTGTCACTATGTACGTCTCTCCTCCTTTTCCCAGCGGCTTGTCATTGCTTAATCAGTAATACTGAGGAGGTGACAGCAGAGGTCACCGCAGGCCATTGTGATATGTTGTTCAAGACGTTTATTTAAGGATGATTTCTCTTCTGTCCTGAGCTCAGGCCGTGTGTCAATTGAAGTGACGCTTTCAGCCTGGCTCAGCTCTTAATGTAACAATGATTAACACTGGGCTGTGGACTGAGCCAGGCTGAAACATTATAGAGTTGGTGAGAAATACTCTGGGCCCTTCCCCATGCAACCTCGAGGTCACGTGGCTGGTGTGAGTGTAAATACCGTCTCTAACTCTGCCAATGGGATCTTTAGGCAGACTCACAGATGATGAAGATCTCTGAACGTTAATTACACAGAGCGAAGTCTAACCTTCATCAATCTGCCTCAAACCCACTCACACAGCAGCTGGTGCTGAGGGAGGGGGGGGATTAATAATAATATTCCTTGAATTTGATATAGTGCCTTATCACGTCTTCTAGACGTCTCAAAGTGCTTCATAGGATATACTGTAAGTGAATTGACTGTACATTTTGTGGTGAGGTGACAGATGGTGGAGCCAGGGAGATGGGTGAGGTTAGAGGAAGGGTTAAGTCCACCTGGTAGAGAAGCGATGTGGGCACAGTCGCACAGCGAGCACAGCCGCACAGCAGGCGCTGACACTGAGCAGTGCCGTGTGGCTATTATCTTGTACGCTGTAATTGTCTCATTTAAGATTCAGGGTCGTGAGGTGCAAAGTAATGTAATTGACGGTTGGCTGTGATGGTGCAGATCAATAGCTGTGTCCAAACACTACATCAACTGCAGACAGAATCTAAAGCCTGACCGAGTTTCACTATGGGCTGTGCTGGAGGGGAGGATATAGTGTGTGTCAGTCTGGCTCAGTCTCTGTGGGTTAGCCTGGCTCAGTTGCTGTGGGTTAACCTGGCTCAGTCGCTGTGGGTCAGACTGGCTCAGTCGCTGTGGGTCAGACTGGCTCAGTCGCTGTGGGTCAGAAGGTTGTGGGTTCAAGCCCCCACGTCGGGCACTTTGAGCTCACAGTCTAGGCTGACGCTCCTATTTGAATAGAGAAGGGAGTTTCTCTATCCCAATGTCCTGGCCAATAATCCCTAAATAAACGCGCATTTCACAGCTGTTTGTGGGGTCTTCGCTGTGTGCAAATTAGCTGCCAGGTTTGCCTACAAAACACATAGTCACTATACTAAACAGTAAAACCTGTGAAGCGCTTTATTATTATTGTAATTACTGTGTAAATCACAGTATAAAGGTGATGTCTAAGTGGTTTCAGTGATGGACAGCCAGACCAATAACACTGCCACATTACATAAGAATGGATGTTACTTTTCTCAGTATATTTGAGCATCTTAAATTAGCTGCTTTGTGCAGGAGGTTGTCATTTTGTTCACCGGGTATGTTGTCAGCCGTTTCTGAATAGTTTATTCACGATTCCAGTTGCACTGGATGATTATAGGAGCTCTGATTATTTTGTGTTGTCTCATGTGTCCGCCTTCAATTTATAGATCAATATATTTCCTTATTTTCGCTACTTCCTTATTTTTCACATTATTATTATTATTCTGCGGAGGTGGGGTTGGGAAGATATTTTGGTTGTCAGTGAGCTGGTCAGTGACCGGTATCAATGACAGGCAGTAGTTTTGGGGTTGGAGCCTGGCACTGCCCTGTGAGATACCGAGCGGGGCTGATAGCCGAGATCATGTCACAAAATCACCGTCTGCCCCGAGGCTGCCTTGTCATCAACAGTTTATGTGAGGCACAAGTCTGCAGTGGGTAGGACGTAGCTACGACAATGTCCACAGAATATTAAGAAATGCTGAGTTAAGAATGAAGGAGATGTGCCTTTATTTGACGTTTGTCCCACAAAATACACAGTCTCCACTTTCTACGGAGTCTGTTTACTTTGGCTCAGTAGTTAGAGCACTCGCCTTGAAAGCAAGAGGACCTGGGTTCGATTCCCGGACGGGGTGAAATCTTGGATGATTATTTGGGGAGCACAAGTTTTCAGGGCTATGGGAAGAGAGCGGGGGAGTGGGATTGAATTGGAAGCTCTTTTCAAAGAGTGGTACAGACATGATGGGCCGAATGGCCTCCTTCTGTGCTGTGTAATTCTATGATCTATGATTAGGCAAGTTTCCTTACTCCACACACGCGCCTTCGTTTACCTGGCAGTAAGTAGAACCCGCTTGTTAGTAGATTGTCGGATTCCTGTAGCTTTGTACTCTAACCGCTATGCTACAGGACTCCTGATTATGGATGTTCAGGTTTATGGAGCAAAGACGGGTAAATGTAGTTGAGATACGGATCTAATAGAATGGCAGAACAGGTCAGAGGGGCTGAATGGCCTCCACCTGTTCCTATGTTCACACAGTAATGTTCTACAGAGCTCGCCAGCACCTAGTTCCCAGCCTCTCACCCACACAGATCTATAAATCAATGCTGCTCTGACCATCCTGTTTCCCGTTCCCCTCACTGCGAGGCTCCCTTGACATTTAGCGGCCGACTTTCTGGGGCCAACGGAATAAACAAAAATCAATAGGATCCTCTCGCCTGGTCAGTGTTCAGCCCGGCCCAGAGCAGCTTAACCCCTCCAGCCCTACCCTCCACCGTCAAGAGAATATAGGAACTTGCTGATGAAAGAAGACCAAAGTCCATCCAGTTCGCCTTACACCATCCTGGCAGTCACATGACATGTCGTGTCCCAAACTATATACTGTATCCCATTACATCCGCACCCCCGTTCAGATTGAATACAATATAAGTCCTCTTCCCCCCCCCAGTCCCTCTGCCTTGTCCCACACTCCCACTGCCCTATCTCTGTGACCTCCTGTGTTTCGCCCACAAAATATACAGTCAATTCACTTTATAGTATATTCTGTGAAGCGCTTTGAGACGTCTCAAAAATGTGATGAGGGGCAATATCAAATGTGAGGGTTATTAATATTATTATAAATGCAAGATATTGTTGTTGATGAGAGATCTTTTGACCTTCGCTCTGTCTCCTGTTCCAGGAGTAAAGACACTCAGACCCAGACTCCACACTGCACCCAGATTGTGACAGACTTCACCTGAGAGCAAGAAGTGAGGAGCGAGGTCAAGGCTGCGGGAATACGATGAGCTCCGTGTGGTGGCCACTGTGGGTTTGCTGCCTCCTGTGTCTCAGTTCAACACCAGCCACAGAAGGTAGGAGCCTGAGACAGCGCCGTGCGGGGAGTGGGGGAGGGAAATATACTGACCTGCTTGCCCCACAACCCGCTGCCTCCACTCGGCTGGCTGTGGCCTCCTTGCTTGTCCCTCGTCCCCTCCGCTCCACCATTAGTGGCCATGCTTTCAGCCACTACACACGGAAACTCTGGAACTCTCTCCATCTATCCCTATCCCTCCGCCTTGTCCCCTCCTTCCTTCCCCATCTTCTGATCGCACCTGAAGACTTTCCTCTTCGACAATGCCTATGGTCACCTTCCCCCCCTCCCCGGAATCATACTCCGTCACTGTTAAGTTCTCCAAGACGCTGCCCTGGATGAGGGGCACTGTGTTGTTACAAGTTGTTATATAATGTTTGTGAATAGATATCCCAATGGATTGAGTTCAAAATCCTCGTTCTCACTTTCAAAGCCCTCCTCAGCCTTGCTCCTCCCTAGCTCTGTGACTTGCTAACTCCATACTAACCTGTCCATTCCCTCCGCTCAGCAGGCTCTGGCCTGCTCCACGTCCCCCGCTCTGCCCACTCTTGCACAATGCACACATCACACACATGTATACACTCGCACCTTGCACTTACACACACACTCATACAAACACCCTCATGCACATGCACACACCTTCACCCACACATCCTCACACACACATACACCCTCACTCATGCACACCCTCACACAGCCAGTATGTACACAGCGGGTTGGGGATTGGGGGCTGGGCTGGTGGCTGTGCTCTGGGCTGAGGCAATAGCTAAGGCATTAAATCTGCTGTCAGGCTGTGTGTTGTGGCTGCTCAGCCAATGGCTGTGCGGAGACACGTGTCTCTGTGGACAGTCGGGAAAGCTGAGATTTTCAGGATAAAGTCAAAGTAATTACGATTCAGGGAAGGTGGAGGAAACCAATTTCTGTGCGTGACTCTGAGCTTTGGCCGGTTATTAAGTGTGCGGGGGGTCACGCTGTCTCATTGCAGCGCTGCTATTTGTTTCCCTGCCCGCCCCCAAACACTCTTTTTTATGTTTTTTTTCATCAAAGACAAACAACGCCCCTCATCTGATCACCGCTCGACAAACATTCACATCATCGCTTGGTGTGTGTCAACCCACCTCAGTGTGTGTTTGTGTAAGGATGGCTCAGTGTGTGTTAGCCCAGGTCAGTGTGTGTGTGTGTACGTGTGTGTGTCAGCCCAGCTCAGTGTGTGTCAGCCCGGCTCAGTGATACTACTCTCCCCTCCGAGTCAGAAGGATGTGGGTTCAAGCCCCCACTTCAGGGACTTGGAATCACATAGCCTAAATTGAGGCTCCAATACAGCAGTGGGAGTATGTTGTATTGTCGGAGACACCGTCCTCTGGACGAGTTCCAGTCTGTGCCCTGTTCAGGTGACGTTAAAGATCCCGTGATGCTATTGGTCGGTGTTTGTGCTTGTGGGTCACTGATTTGCACAAATTCACTGCCGGGTTTTACCCACAAAATACACAGTCACTACACTTTACAGTATATTCTGTGAAATACTGAAAGACATCTCGACGACCTGATAAGGTGCTATATCAAATGCAAAGATTATTATTATTATCTTATGTTCATTGAACATATTGCAGAAGAGAGTGTCCTGGTGAACAACTTCCTTTTATGTCAGGAGGGACGTCTCAAAGCGCTTCGCAGGATTAGTGTTAAATGCAGTGACTTTGTGTTATTGTGGTGGCACAATGCAGATCACTGAGGAGTGGGGTGGGGGGTGGGGGACTGACAGATACGGAGGCGAATGACAGAGTCTCTCTGAGTAAATGACAGCTCAGTGGGATGTCCTAATGCCAGACAGGAAGGGTTTGTTTTACTAGCGGAGCCTAATAAAGCCCTCTCATTACTGTCAGTCACCTCATTCAGTGCCAGGCTGAGCTGAGCGGCTGAACAATATCCCTGTCCTCTGTCTGAAATTTACCACAAATTAATTGGTTAATTAACGTGCAGAGTTCATTCTGAATCAAGTCCTTTTACATGGCAATAATTAGGTAGCGAAGCCCCCATGTGCTGAATTATAATGGTGGGGGGGGAGCTAATCTGGGCCTCAAATTAGATAATCAGGGCATTAGCTGTGTGAGAGGTTTGTGATAACACAGCCAGGGGCACAGAATTCCACTTAATCTGCGAGCCATCTTTGTCTTAATAATAATAATTTGGTCTCTCAATCCGTGGTTGTTTGGGGACGCTGCTGTGCACAATTGGTTGCCGAGTTTCACCCACAAAATACAGTCACTACACTTTACAGTGTATCCTGTGAAGCGCTTTGAGAGGCCTCGAAGATGTGGTAAGGCCCTGTATCAAAAGTGAGGATTATTATTATTAGCAGCAAATACCCCAACACACCTTCCGGGGTCCCAAAGCCTTGGCTCTCGCCAGCCTGGGCCAGATAACCTCTGGATTTAGATAAGCAGGATGCATCCCTCTGGAAATGCATTCCATTCCAGACACGGGAATCTCCATGTGTAGGTGGGATGCATGGAATTCTCAGTTTGGTTTGGTGACTCTTAAGCAACCGTGATGAGTTTCCGCGTGTGTCAGACACCCACCCGGTTGGGCAAATTAAGTGTATTAGTGAATCTTGTTCAGAAATATCGCAAATTAGGCCCCAATGGGTCGAGGAATTCCTTTCTCTGGCTCCTCCCCACGCCTTGGCTCTTGCCAACCTGTGCCTAATACTCTCTAGGATTAGGTAAGCAGAATGCATCCCTCCAGAGAGAGTGGGAGTGCGCGTTCCATTCCACACACAGAAATTTCCATGTGGAGGTGGGATGCAGGGAATTCTCAGTCTGGTTTGGAGACTCTTAGCCAATGGTGACTGGTGTGCGCATGTGTCAGACACCCGGCTGACCCAAAAATATATATAGTTCACATGTAAGGTGGAGCTGACAGATGAGTGTGTACATGTAGCTGTCTAACTGAAAGGCTAAACAGCTTTTACTGTAGTGACAAGCTCAGAAATGAAACTGCCCGAGTCCCTCTCCCTTGGGTCACAAAACCAAGCGGTGTTTTCATTGAGAGTCAATTTCTGTTTCTCTGTCCTGCTCATCTGTGTTTCCTACTGACTCAGGTTCCTAATCATTGCTCATTTATAAATACAATTAATCCTTGGTATCTCCATGTGGAATTCTCTGCCTCTCCCCTTTACCTCGCGCCTCCTTGCTCTTTCTTTTTCTACAACAACAGGACGTTTACACAGCTCCCTTCACACAAGGTAGTGTCTCGGAGCGTGAAACAGTGGCAGAGCCAGGGAGGGAGGGGAGGTGACCATAGGCATGGTCGAAGAGGAAGGTCTTCAGAAGATGAGCAAAGAGGGGGGTGAGGTGGAGGGATTGAGGTAGGGAGTTCCAGAGGAATGGGCATAGTGGCTGAAAGCACAGCTGCCAATGGTGGAGCGGAGAGGACGAGGGACAAGCAGGAGGCCGGAGCTAGCCGAGCGGAGGGGATGGATGGTGGAGTGGGGAGTGAGCAGGTTGGAGAGGTGCTGCGGTGTGAAGTGATTTATAATAATAACAACAATCCTTGCATTTGATATAGCGCCTTATCACATTGTTGAGATGTCTCAAAGTGCTTCACGGTATATACTCCAGAGTGTAATGACTGTGTTTTGTGGGCGAAACACGACAAACGTTTGCGCACAGCAATGTCCCACAAACAGCCATGGAGTGAATGACCAATTTTATCTGGGGGATTGTTGGGCAGCACACCGGGAGAGAGAAACTCTCTTCTGTTTTCCAATTACGCTGCGGGATCTTTAACATCCACCTGAACAGGGCATAGACGGAGCTCTATTCAAGGATGGCACTCCCCCAGCACTGTATTGGAGCATCAGCTTAGATTGTTTGATTCTAAGCCCTGACATGGGGGTTTGAACCCAGAACCTGACTCAGAGGTAAGAGAGCGCTACCACTGAGCCAGGCTGACACACAATATCGTTTGTATCCATACATGAGAAATGCCTTAAGGAACGATCGAAGATGTGTTATGTTTTGTTAATGTGCCCCTCCCTTGTTCATTAAGAACGGTACCCATCAGGCTCTGAGGGGGAGGGGAGAGGAGAGGGCCGAGTAAACGAGACAGCACAGACGTGATATGCTGAATGGTGTTGTCAATTTCTTGACAGGATTTCTTTGTTAAAATTCCATGTATCTTTTTTCCGTGACGATGAATCTGTCTTGAGCCAGGAAACTGACCGTAGAAGGTGATATTCCTTTCCGGACAGGCAGCAGCTGACTAGGGGAAGATGAAGCCGGCAAAATAGCAGAGAGAAAGGCAGCGGAGAAATGGATCTTAATTAGGGTGTTGCTAATTAAGAAACAGCGACAAGGCTGCTCCTCGTGATAATTAACATGAGGAATGCCTTGAAGGAATACCGCAAATTTCCCCCCCACAGGTCCCAGTGAGGTGTGTGAATGAATGAACTTCATGTTTTTATGGCTCTTTGAGATGTCTTACAAACACAGCTCTGTGTTATTCTGGTCGTCAAATGTAACAGCCATTTTGTACCCAGCACAATCTATTCCCCAGAATAGAAAAATAATCATCAAGTTTCACATGGCTTTCGAAGGTTTTGCATTCAAGCCCCACGTCAGGACTTGGAATTTAAGTGCTGGGGCAGCGCTGCATTGCCAGAAATGCTGTACTTCGGATGAGGCGTTAAACTGAGCTCCCCTTCTGTGCCCTCAGATTCGAGGATTGTTATTATTGATAATGTTGTGCTGCTCAGTGAGTGTTTGATGGAGTGGGTGATCAGTGGATAGGCAGCTGATGCTTCACTTAAGAGACAAATGCATATGTTTGTGTGTGTGTATGCGTGCGTATTGTGTGTGTGTGTGGAGGGAGGTGAGAGGGGAGAGAGCGATTGCTATCTAATTATAGAGGAATCATCAAAGGTAGCTGAGGGAAACGGAGGGACACATCATAAAAGAGTAACCAGGGACCTCGGTAAAGGTTAATGAATTCCCTTTATCC